GGGCTCTCTGAGTCTTAGCCATGTCCGTGAGACCACACTGCCACAGACATATGCATGGTGCCAGTTAAGGAGATCTAAGAACATTGTCGCCCTTGGCTTACATGTTGAAATGAAAACACTGCTCTGGTAGACATGTTTTGTGGAAATTTACCAGTATCAAAATAAAAGCCTTCTTCTTTTTAAGTAAAATTCCATTGGGGTAAAGTTTGCGTTAGATTTCTAAAATTTATTTCAAATTACCCAACACATATTTGAACTTCCTTTCAGATGGTGATGTTAAAAAATACTGGTGCAACAACTACTCTTAAGGATCCTGATATTATCTTTTATATTCTTATAAGTATGTAGTATGAGACAAGGCCTGATACATAATACAATGTAAAACAGTATGTGATGCAGAGGGAAGTTGGTTTGAACACTTAGCCTGTGATTTAAGATCCCCCAGGGAAGCAACTGTTCTACCCCAAATGACAATAATTTAAGTATCTAATGCTCTCAAGGAAAAAAAGAAGTATCACTATTGTTTTGCAATTAGTTAAAAACACTTTAAAATGGGGGCACCTGGGTGGCTCAGTTGGTTAAGCGACTGCCTTCGGCTCAGGTCATGATCCTGGAGTCCCTGGATCGAGTCCCGCATCGGGCTCCCTGCTCGGCAGGGAGTCTGCTTCTCCCTCTGACCCTCCCCCCTCTCATGAGCTCTCTCTCTCTCATTCTCTCTGTCTCAAATAAATAAATAAAATCTTAAAAAAAAAAAAAACTACTCAAAAACACTTTAAAATGAAGTATATTATTACAACAGTGGGGGTGGAAACAGAACAAATCAGTCTACTAATTGCCTACATTTGATTCTTCTTGATTCCAGTTACAGTCCTATTTGACTCTGTGACACTGGTGAGTGGATGATTATGTCATCTACAAAAGAAGAAAATGGCCTCAGTGCACAGGAAGTCTCTCAAGGGCTTTTAAAAATTTCAACAGCTGAACCCTTCCTGCCTTATGCCTACACTCATTGCAAAAGCATCACAACTGGTCACCCAGCCACCAGGCCCTCTCCAGGCCATCACTTCCACCACATAAGCTGTTGGAGTGACATTTTTTTTTAAGTCCCAAACTGACTGTGTTGCCTCACTACTTGGAAACCTTCCCAGGAATCGGTCTGGCTGGATCACGTGGCCTTTATTTCCACTCGGCGCCCTTTATATGGTTTTACTGCATGTCCATCCTCCCAGCCTAGTTTTCCAAAGGGCAGCACTCAAATCCTGTGACTCTTTTAACTCAGGGCTGGGCAAACTGTCTGTCATACAGCAGGCAATTAAAGAAGCTGAAGGAAGGAATAAGAACTCAACTTAGGGACTGTCTTAGCTTCAAAGGAAAGGAAATAAAATTAAGTATGCATGTTAACATCCAGAAGGTGTCAGAGTCATTTGGTAAGTAGGTTGATTCACTCTAAGCACTTGTACTATTGACTGGGCATCGATGACAAAAAAAATCAGCAAGCACTATAATGTTTTTAAGTGTTATTGATGATTCAATACTACAAAATATTTCTCCGTCAATCACAAAACTAATTTAACTGTCAGCCACGCAGGGCCAGATGTCAAAAACATGTGTTAAAAGGCCCTAATATGCCATGATCTACTTGATTAACAACTAACTTGCAGAAATTCCAACAATGTGTTCTTGTTTTAGTCTTATTTGCATTGGCAAGTGTTTCTTGTGCACTCATCTGGCTCTGCACAGGTCTAATCTATTTGTGCTTTATCACTGAGCGGGAACTGAATTACAGCAGCCTCCGGCTCTGCTAACTGCCTTTCTCAACTGCTTATCTGCTATGTGGCTACAGCAAGGCTTGGCGAGACCAGCTTTATAAATACTGTGGGTTCCGTCTCTTGAGCTTCTGTGTGTCAATCCTAGAACTAAGTCATACTCAATCTTAACTTGCTATGTGGCATTATTTTTTGCACTGTGAATAAGTATATAAATTCTTAGAAACTAAAAGGAATAACACATTCCCCAGAAGGTCATAATTCAAGTGGAATGGTGAATAGTGCCTAATAGGTTCTATTCATCAGCCAAATGACAGAAAATAATTAGATGTTCTTATGAGTCCATGATTTTTAATTAATCATTTTATTTTTTGTATATCTTGTTCCAGGGGATCTGTTCAATTAAATGTGATAAAACTGGAACTTGTGAGGGAAGGGCCGTTAAAGGCGATTGTGATGCTGTCAAAAGCACAATTATCAGAAGGTTTGAGTTTCAGTCCCATTCCATCACCCGTGAGCTGAGTGGCCTTGGGATAGTCCAGGGGAGGCAACAAAGTCCCAAAATAGGGCCAACTTAGACAAATTAGAAGTGGCTTCCCGGAGCACTGAGTTGAGAAGTTAGCATGCACCATGGTCTATCCATGACATCCACGTAGCACACAGAAATGGGGAATAGTGCTGCATCTGTCCAAAATTTTCATTTCTGGGCAAGTCATTTCACCTCACTAAGGCCATTTCCCATCTTTAAAATGGAAAAGCATAGGTTTGGTGTTTCTCAAAGTATGGTCATTTAACCACTTTCATCAGAATCACTGGGCATACTTTTAAAAATCACAGGTTCCTTGGCCCCATGGCAAAGCAACTGAATCAGCATCACTAGGAAATGGGACCCAAGAGACTGTATTTTAAGAAGCTCCCTAGATGATAAGATTATTTGGATACACACAGAAGTTTGATACTGGAATAAATACTTAAAAGCAATCTATTATTCTTTGTCCCATGATAAAGAACCTTGCCAGTTCCTATCCAATGTTTTTGTCTGTGCTTTTCAAATACACTAACATTCTGATTTTGTCACTTTTTGAAAATTCCCTTCAAATAAATTGACCTGTGTTTGCTTTTATTCTTCATTACTATGAAAGGCTAAAAGTCAGATGCAAATAAGGTTTGAAAACTAAGAGCTCACACAAAGCTGGCCTACCTCACATTTGGCTTGAGCATCATAATACTTTAAAACCTGAACTTGAATGGTTTGAGGTAGGTCAAGGACTCTGCAGCTTGCCACAGTTGCCAGCAGTCCCTACTGCCTCACACCAAACCCACTTCCGTCATTTTCGTTCTCTGCCTGGCTCTTCAAAGTATCTAACTACTCAACTCCTCATCTATTGCCTAATTCAGATTCCATGTGCCTGAGATTGTGGGTCAGCAAACTAAATAATTATTATCAAGGTAGTTCCAAAGAGAATGGAACTTAGAGGTCAGCTAATTTAAATGTGCATTTTGAAAATAATGTACTAAGAGAAGAGGCTTGCCCCACGTGATGCAACTCTCAAGTGGTGGCATGAATATGAGGGGGGCAGACTCCCACAGACCTCAACCTTCCTTCACAGTCGTCCCCTCATTCTCAAAGGAAGTGCTTAAATAAAAGGAACAGTTTCAGATTTGGGGATTGTTTGGGTATTTAAACTAGAATAAATCAAATCTTAATAGAGCCGGGGAAAAAAAATGATAAAATCCTGCCAAGAATCCACGACATGGAAAAATTATATGGTATATGTTTACTTCTGTAAAGTTGCAGAAAGAAATTGAGAGGTAGTGATGGAATGACATCATATCACTCAAAAACTGCAAACAGGATACATACTATTAATAGTTTTCAAACCAACATTCCCTCATTCAAATTTTTACAAAGAAAATTACTACATAGAGTTTCGGTAATAAATTCTTAAAAATTTAAAAAAAGAGTATTTTTCCTGAAGAATCATCTTATTTATTCTTTTATGTTTTCAAGTAAAATCTTATATCTTTATAATATTAAAGTTATAATGTTATCATTTCTATCTAGCCATAGAATTACAGCTCTTCCTTTTAGCATCTCTATTTTTTTATGTAGTGCAGTGATTCTCAGACTAGAGTGAACATCACAATGACTGGATGTTCACTCCAGGAACTCACTAAAGTGCAGAATCCCAAGCCCTCCCAAAGTTCTGATTTAGTAGGTATAGATAGAGCCTAATAATTCAGATTTTCAACAGGCACCTCCTGGTGATTCTGACGTAGAAGTCAAAGAAGCCTTCTTTAAGATACATTGGCTTAAAAAAAAAAATATCTGTGGGCCATTTAGTCTAATGCCTTCCATTCCACAAATTTGAGGTGCTGGGAAAGAGAGTTACTTGCCAAGGTCATCCAGTTAGTTAGTGGCAGGGCTGGGACTAGCTCCTACCTAAGTCTCCTTCTATTTGACTTCATTACTACAGTTTATAGACTATGATAATGGGGAATATAGGAGACAGGCAGTCTAGCTCCCAAGTCCACATCCATGACTACTGGGTAATACAGCTTCTCAGGAAACTGAACTCCCAGAAGAGGAGGAATTAAATCTGCAGAAAGTAAAGAACATTCTAGCCTAGGTAATAGTGTGTGCAAAGGGTCTGAGAAAGGAGGGAGCATGGCAGATTTGAAGATCTAGGCCAGCATAGCCAGAATAGACAGAATGAGGGAAGAGAGATGGGGGATGAGGCTGGGAAAGAAGGAAGGAAAGAAGAAAAAAGAGGGAAGGTAGAGGAAGGGAGGGAGGGAATAGTGAAGGAGGGAGAGAAGAAGAACAAGAAGGAGAAAGGGAAAGAGGGTGGGAGGATGGGAAGGAAAGAGGAGTAAAGCAAGCAGGCAGAGAGGTAGCTGATCGGATACGAGCCATATCGGATGAAGGGATGGAACATATGTGCCAGGTTAAGGATTTCAGTTTTTATCATCCTAAGAACAGTAACAAGCTAGTGAAGGTTTTTAAGCAGGTTCAAATGTGATGTAATCAGGTTTGCATTTCAAGGCTCTCCTGGTTTTTTTAATGTGCCAAGTATACTGAGGAGGGCTAACATGGGAGTGGGAGGTCTAGCTGGAACAGAGGGTAGTGTGAGCACATGGAAAAAAGAGAGCATATTTAAATACATTTAGATCATCTCCTCCTCCCCACACTTCCCTAAATCCTGACACCCCCATTTTTCAGCCCAAGCTCACCTTTTCTGACAAAGCCTCTTCGAGTGTTGCTAGTGCAGTATCCGTATTACTGGAATCCGTCTGCAAGGACTTTACTCTGTCTTTCAGGTTGGTTAGTTGTTTGTCTTTATCTCTAAGCTGTTCTTGCAAGTTTTCAATCTGAAAATAAAGATCACCATATTTAATGCATATGTTATTACAGATCCAAGGCCAAGATTCCTGAAGTGGACATGTTTTTAAAAAATAGACCCCAGGCTATGGACATTGTCAGCATTGAGGTTACACTGACTTAGAATCAAGGCCATTTTGATGAGACCTCATCCTTCCATGTAATTCAACTTTGTATTTAAATGGAGGTAGTCTGCTCAATAGAGATGAGCAGACTATCTCCTTCCATACTGATGCAAGCCCTTCAGACATGTAAGCATTGCTATTTCTACCTATTTCTATCCTTCCTACCAGATTAGTCCACAATCTAATCTTCGTACAATGAATCAGAGAAATACATACACAGGATTTTTTCATTCAATGAAAAGACATGTATTGGGTGCCCATTCTGCAACAAGCACCATATCAATATATGGCAGAACCTATGTAGTCATTCACTCACTCCTTTATTCAGTATTAAACTTCGTGATATGCCAAATGTTGTCAAGTGGCTGTTTCAAAGTAACCACATGAAAAGCCAAGTAGGTTATCATCAGTAGACTGTTAATGGGAAGAACTTGTGATATAAATCAAATGTAACAAGTACTAAACACTCCATTTGGCAACTAAGTCATGTGCTGGCAACCAACCAGCCACTTTTATCCACTATCTGCAGCCTGAAATAAACACGCCAAATAGCTGATTATAACGCCTGCCCATGAGCAGCAGAAAGGACCTTTCCCGGGCATTGCATACATTATCATTCATGTTTTTATTCTCTGCTTTCAAACTATGTATTTCTTATCTCAGGATTAAAAAAAGCCCACTGTACAAACAATTTATTTGTATTAAGGGTTTTAAAGTGACAAGTAAAAAAAGCAGTACAACTCAGATAAGTCCATTCAAAATATTTGTATTCTGCACCCAGGCTTTCGTAGGAAATCATTCCAAATGCATGTTTAACAATGTGTGACTTAAACAAATTTTTGGATTATTTGATTCATTTAGCGTAAATCTGGAATGCAACACAAATAATGACAGTCAAAGCAACAACGAGAGGAGAAGAGGGTAACAGTGGAGGTGGCAGTGGTAACAGCAGGAAAATAGCTCTGAATGCAAAAGCAAAGACCCTGCTGACCCTCAACTGGCAGGACATGGGACTTGGCTAATTTTTCCAATGGCTACAGGGATTTGAACTAATAGAGATGGACTTTTTCCTTTTCCTTCCTTCCCTCCTTCCTTCCTTCTTTCCTTCCTTCCTTCCTTGCTTCTTTCTCCCTTCCTTCTTCCTTCTTTCCTTTTTTTTTTTTCCCCACCAATGCATCTTTTTAATAAGACATGTTTTCTGCCTTGAGACAGACATCCTGGAACTCAAGTTATAGTCAAATAATTAGGCTTCTCCTTCATCCAAAATGCAGTGTATTCCTGCCCACCTACCACTGTGAGAATTCACTGTAACTTCATGGAAAACACAGGAACTCAAAAGGCATAATCATCTGCAGTCAAAACAAAGGTTTTCTCCATTCCAGACAAGTGTTTGTGAGGTTACACAACACCATAAATAAATAGATGGCTGAACAAGAATATGGATGGTTACATATCAGAATGATACTCATTATATAAAAGAAGCCAACAGCTGAGAGGACTGGCTCTTCAAAGAGAGTGTGTGTTATTACTGTGAGTACACCCACACCCATGGATACATTTGTGTATGCGAATATGTGTAAATCCCTGGTGGTTCCAAGCAAACTGATTAGGCACCCCCGTCACCCTGTGAGACAGTGCCCTGGATAGGACAGAGGATACGTTCTCTCAGGGCATCAGCCCTAGGGCAGCGATAGGCACTGATTTCAAGGGACTTTGGGCACTGGAAACAGAGGCTAAATAAGACTGACTAGGAGCCTGTGAGAGGCTCCTTGGGGTGTCCCCAAATCACTAAGAGGACTGAAGAAGTTAGGACCAGGGTTCTACCAGTATGCAGGTAATATAACACTTGGTATTTTCTGGTTTTCTGATAGTAGCCATCCTAAAGGGTATGAGATGGTGTCTCCTTAGAGTTTTGATTTTCATTTCCCTCATGACTAATGATGTTGAGTGATCTTTTCATGTGCTTAGTAGCCATCTGTATATCTTCTTTTCTTTTTTTTTTATTATGTTATGTTAGTAACCACCCCAAAACTGCTAGAACTCATACAGGAATTCAGTAAAGTGGCAGGATATAAAATCAATGCACAGAAATCAGTGGCATTCCTATACA